TCTATGAAAGAAGACTATGCCAACTACCCTTTCACAGATGCATATGAGCATCAAATTAGGTAAGGATAGAGAAAAAGAGCTTTCTTAACTATTAGTTTCCCATTATAAGTCTGAATTAAAGTTTCACAGGTTGTATCATTTGGGCCATCTCTATCTTCCAGAGAGGGAGACTGCAAAAGAGATTGACCTGGATTATGCATGATGAATTATGATCTCCAGACCCCGAAAAATAAGGAAAATTCTATGGGCCCAAATCAATCCAGCTTCTCAAATTAGGTAAAAGAAACATAATTTTAAAAAGAACTTCATGATGCCCAGCCGGTTTGGCTCAGTGGATAGAGCGTCAGCCTGCGGACTGAAGGGTCCAGGGTTCAATTCTGGTCAAGGGCACATGACCAAGTTGCAGGCTTGATCCGTGCAGGCGGCAGCCAATCAATGATTCTCTCTCATCATTGATGTTTCTATCTCTTCCTCTCCTTTCCTCTCTGAAATCAATAAAAATATATTTTTTAAAAAAGAAAGAACTTCACAAAAAAAGAACACATGACTCAAAATACAGGATTAACTAATATCCCACCTTCAACAACTTTCAGCATACATTCACTGTGATAAGATACATTAAAAGGAAATGCTATAAAAGAAGTATACTAAAAGCAATGTTTTTCTACATTTTAATTTTTAACACTAGGACCCTGGCCAGGTGGCTCAGTTGGTTGGAGTGCTGTCCCATACACCAAACGATGGTGAATTCAATTCCCTGTCAGGGCACATACGTAGGTTTCTGGTTCAACCCCTACTTGGAGCAAGTACAAGAAGCAAATGATCAATGTTTCACTCTCACATTAATGTTTTTCCCTCTCTCTCTCTCTCCCTCCCTCCCTCCCATTCTTCTCTCTCTAAAAAATCAATAAACATCCTCAAGTGAGAAAAAAAAACTGAACACTAGGGTTGCTCTCATTTTTAAGGGAACAAAGAGAATGCAATATGTGCTTTCAGAGGGAACTAATTTTCTGAACTGGAATGGTATCAGGTTATAGCAAATAAATGGTAAAAGAAATAGTATGCAATACAGAGAAAGGCAAGCAATTCTAGGATTTAGAACTATGTATAACCAATGTCCACACAATTCAGTTCTTTAAAATTAAGATAAAGGCAAAAAAAAAAAAAAAAAAAAAAAAAAAAGATAAAGGCACCCTCCTGTGGTTCTTGAAAACCACAGACTAAATGGTGAATAGATAGTCCAATAGAATCACACAGAGGGCATCTCATACATATTGTATATATTCCAATATTATTGTAAGAAAAAGCATATTGATTTTAAATATTCACTTTTTCTTAACAGATATGCTTCATTATACTTGAAAGTTTTGAATGTTTTTTAAAAGTAGAATCTCACTATCAGTTACTTCAATTGATATTTATAAAATGTTCAGTTGATATTTATAAAATGTCCCTAAGTTTTGTTATACATCTATATTTGAAACCTACCAAAAAAAAAGAATAACTGTTTAAACCAGCATATCAAGAGAATCAGAGGCACCTACAACATATTCTGTATTTCCTATAACAAGTACTTTACAAATGCCTCCATGTTTTTGAGAATCAATTATTGATTCTAAGCAATTTTTTAAGTTTTAAAAAACTGACATTTCTTAGTTTTTTTTATATTTCCCTGCTTTTTCTTCTATAATAAATTTAACTTCTTGTGTTTATGAGATCTTTTACATCTATTACATTTTAAGTGACTAGTAACTAAAGCAGGTTATCATCTCTGATAACAATTCTTATATACTTATTATTTTCAAAGCACTTTCACATTCATTACTCTACTGTAATTCTCATGATAGCCCTATAAGGTAGGTATTATCCCTATTTTAACAGATGAAATACTCAGTTCAGAAAAGGTGGGTAATTTCCCCAAGGTCACAGAGCTTGTATATGGCAGAACAGTTACCTGAACCCAGGTAGAATAAAGATTCATCAAGCATATTCTGAGGGGGAATGCTCAATAATGAAAAAATGGAAATCAACAGGTTAAAGAGAAAGACAGGACCCATTAATAATGAAGCTTAAGAAACTGAGTGGATCATGAGCGGTTAGGGACTCGTCTATTAATAATGAAAGAGACCATTAATGAGACCATTATAAATAAAAGTATTGTTGTTTTTACCAATGATGATGGCTAACATGTATAGCACCCTTAGTATATGCCAGTCCCATGCATATATTTATATGTATTCTCAGAGTACCAGTGAGGTAAGCATTAATCCTACTTTCCAATTGAGAAACCGTGGCTTGAAGAGGTTAAATATCTTGCCCATGGTCACAAATATCTTAAGTCCTGATATGGGATTCAAATCCAGGACTCCGGAGCTCTGGCTCGTAAGCATTATGATATTAAGAAAACAATACTTCCCAGCCTGGCTGGTGTGCTCAAGTGGTTGAGCGTTGACCCATAAACTAGGAGTTCATGATTCCCAGTTAGGGCATATGCTTGGGTTGGGGGCTCAATCCCCAGCAGGGGCATGTAAGAGGCAGCCGCCAGTTGATGATTTTCTCTCTCATCATTGATATTTCTATTTCTCCCTCATCTTTTCTCTCTCTGAAATCAATGTTAAAAATATATATTAAAAAAGCAAACAATACTTCCTAACTTGGACCACTCCTGAGTCACAAACATCAAGAATGGTCCAAGTTGGGAAAAGGTGTGCAGAGTTATCCAGTGCCCCATGCAGTGCTTATCACACAAAAGGACCACTATCTGTTATATGAAATGCTTTCCATTACGTCCCAAAACTGAGTCCTGCTGTTTGAAAGAGCATGGTCATTAACAACTCCCCGAAAAGCAATGTTTGGGTGGCAAATAGAAGCAAATGGTGGGAAGGGGGTGTAAATACATCTTTTAGGGACCATCTCTATGAAGTCTGATCTAAAGCTAAAGGTCTTGGTAGATGAAGTATTGGAGGGTAGGCTTTAATATTACAAAACAAACAAAAAAGAGAGATCCTAAATTGCTGCTTAAGCTCATGTTTTATAACCTGAACTCAGCTAGACAACATCCTGAGAATTTCAAACACTTCTCTTCATTCTGAATAATCAAAAGAGGTTAAGAACTGACATACCAGGTTCCTGAATCAATCAAGCCTACACACAGTACTGATAAAAGAAAATTCATCGATAATTAAAGGAAAAGTTTGAAGCCTCCTCCCTTTTAAAGTGAGTTCAGCTTATTAAAAAGTTTAGCTTACTAGTATACAAACACAGGGTTGGGGAAGGAAGAATGGAGAGCATCAGAATAATTCCTCAATGCAATGACTTCCTTTGAATTCCTAGACTATTCCAAGCTCTTTCCCACTTTGGAAACTTCACACAAATGGTTCTTTCTGCTGAGAATTGGAAGTCTCTTCTCCAATATAAGAGACAGGTCAACTCCTCTCTCCCCGCCCCCCCGCAAAAAAAACCACCCCCACCCAAAATCACATTATTTTTATGTCATCCATTTTGGATAAGCATTACAATCCTAAATTGTCGTTTTGCTGTTTCATCTCCCACCAACAACTAGACTGTAAAGCTGTAAGATCAGGAAACCCAAATTGCACTTCGGCTGTATGCTGTGATTTGCAACACAGTGGCATCCAATAACTAATTCAATCTGAATTAATTACCTGAGGGCCTGCACAGAAAGTGTCCTGAGCTCTGACATCATCCTCTCTCTATATCTATCGCTGTTCTTTATGTATATTAAAATCACCTCCTGGGGAGGGTGACAGGATTATAAAAATGAACACAACCCTGTCTCTGCTTCCTGAATCACACACGTTCTCACACACATGAAATAATCAGTAAATGCTGAACTTAACTAGACACCCAGTTCAGAGGGACCCAGGAGGAGCCGTTTAGGAAGATTTTAATCAAAGAATAACTATGGTCACACTACCAGGAGCACTCCACCTGATTCTGCTAATAATTGAGCTAAGCAGTTTGCTAAAGCTGTCAAGACATTTCTGAGATTCCCTTTTTTAAAAATAGCATTGCTCCTCGAAATTCCCCAGTAAAGTCAAGGAAACGGTCCCTGATGGGCTGGGGCCTGGTGTTTTCACAGGACCGCTGTCAAGGGCCACACGCGGCTAATAAGCATTTCCAGGGGGGAAAGCCATCCATTAGGAGGCTGCCTCCGAGGTCCAGACACTGCACAGCGCACCTTGACCCCTGCCTTCCTCTTTCCTGCCTCTCCAACACCCGAACCCACTCCTTATCTATTCCTTTCTGCACGCAAGGCTCACACTGGGATCCCCAGGCCGGAATAAATGGCTGCTACCAGGCCAGTGACTGTCTCACTACCTTCCAGGTGGCACAGGCCCCAGCAACCCCCACCCCTCCCCGCTCGCGGAGACCCCGCAGAAGTTTGGAAACGCAGGTCCCACCGGACCGCGGAGCCCGGAGGTCAACCCGGGTCCGGCTGCAGCGGTGGCCGAAGGGAACCAAGATGGCCCTGCGCGAGGCCGGGCGGCGGCGGGACCAAGCGAGGGAGCGGGCCGAGGGCCGAGGGCGCGGGCAGGGACGCCGCCGCCGCCGCCGCCGCCGCCGCCGCCGCCGCCTACCTGGGCGCCCCGGGAGCGCGGCCAGGCCCCGCCGCCCCCGCCGCCCCCGCCGCCGCAGCCCGAGCCCGCGTCCGGGGCCGGCGGGTGGGGCGCGCCAGGTAAGCCGCCGCGGCGGGGCGCTCCCGCCAGGTGGGCCGGGGACCGCGGGGGCGTCGGGCAGGCCCAGGGCCGAGCGCGGGCGGAGGCCGCGGCCGGGGCCTGCGCGAGCCCCAGCCGGATCCGGGCCGAGCCGCCGCGGCAGGCCCGGCGCGGGAAGCCGCGGGGGTGGGCGGGGGGCCGGCGCGGCGGCTCCGGGGGCTGCCCCGGCGGGTCGGGGGGCGTCCGCGCGGGGCGACAGGCCGCGACGCCGCCGACGGCCGCGCCGGGGAGCCGGGGTCTCGGCGCTGCCGCGCTCCTTACCCTGCATGCTGCTGACGGCCGGGTGGCCCGGCGCCGGGGACCCCATGGGGCCCGGGGAGCCGCTGCCGCTGCCACCCCCGGAGCCGCCGCCGCTCGGGCTCGGAGCCGCCATTGTTGGGAGTGAGGAGCCGAGCGGCGCCGCGGCGGCTGCAATGCAGCAAGCTCGGCCTTTCCTCGGCGAGGGGCGTGGTCTCCGCCCGTGGTCACGCCCACGCCCTCTGTGGCCACGCCCACGCCCGGGCTGACGCGGAGCCGCGCCAGATGCTGAGCCCTGGACCCGCCCAGGTCGCGGGTGCAACCCCCGAAAGCGGGGCGGGCAGAAGTTCTGCACCCGGGCTGCGGGGCCGCCCGCGGGGCCTAAAGCGGTTTGCAGAATTAGGAGTGTGTGTGCATTTGGGGAAACAAGAGGATACCTAGCTTGCATCGTTCCCACAGACGTCTGTGACCCCAGAAGTTTAAGAACCCACTTGTTAGATTTCAGAACCCAAAATCAGAATGGTGAAGCTGAAAGGGACCCCAGGGGTCATGCTGCTTGTCTAAGCGATTACAGGGACCTTCCAGGGGGGAGTTGGCTCTAGCTCTGGTTCCATCTGAAACTCCTGTGAAGCCCCACCTAGCACCCCACACTTTCTTTTCCTTTTTTGGTGGGAGTGAGGCGGTCCCAAACTCCTGCATCCCAAAACTACTGAGTCAGAATCTACAATTTAATAATATCCCCAGGTAATATACATATATACCATGATCTCCTTCTCCAACCTCCTTCCACCCAGACATTACCTGGGCTCGGACTTCCTCATAGCATGTTGGAAATGGGTCCTCAATCAAAAGAGTCCGCTTTCTTTTTCCAAACCCAACCTCAGCCATCAACTTCATTGCTCAGATGCTGGCAGTGGCTACAGATAGGAGCAATAAAGACAAATTGAAGGTGAGAGCAGGTAGGTGTCCTTAAGTGGAGAGCCTTTACATTCCCATCTGCCACTCCCCTCAGAGGGTTTGGCTGACTGAACAATATATCCAAATCCAAATCTGCCACTCCCCTCAGAGGGTTTGGCTGACTGAACAATATATCCAAATCCAAATCATTATAAAAATGGCCAAATCCCCCATCTAAGGAGTCAGTAGCCCACCTTGCTCCTGCTGCTCCTGGGGAATCCTAAATGTGGGCTCCTTCAAGGAGAAATTTTACCAGAACCAGAAAGGGAAGTTTCCCATTCAGACTGGTCAGCACAGAGTACAGACTTTTTTTTTTTTTTTTTTTTTTTTTGCTATCTACATCATCTGCCTAGTGCTGATAGAAGAGACATAACACATGACAAAAGAAAAGGAGACACCCTGGCTCCCTACTAGTCTCCCCTGTTAAAGTAAAGATTGGTAGATGGCTTTCTTTTCTTTGGGGTTTACTTTTTAGTGCCTGGAAGAGCTACCATCAATAATCAAATGAGATTCTTCTTTCAAAACATCAACACAACTTGCCAAAGATTAGAAAAGATTAATGCAGAAAAATAGAGTAACACACACCTTGCATTTCCACACTTTGACATACTGAGAAAAGGCATCAGTAGCCCCTTAGTTTGCTGGCAAATGAACCAAGTGCAGGATACTGTCATCACTAAGCTCCAGTTGCAGGATAACCAGATGCCAAATAGTTCAATTTGAACCATTTTGTGACATTTTATTCCAGTACCTGCCAGTAGGGTTCCCCATCAGTTCCTGTTGCCTAAATGTCACTGTTGTGTGTGTGTGTGTGTCTCATTTCTTGTTTCTAGTTCTAGAATCCCTCCCCATTCTTTGATGTGGACAATTAACATATGCATAGCCTATGTAAAGTGCTATAAGCCCCCTTTTCAAATTATACGTATTTCTGTAATAGAAACTTACTGATTCTTTACTAGAAATCCTAGAGGCAATGGTACAGATTAGGCAACTACCAGAAAAAAATTTTCTTAAGCATACAGTTTGCCCTGACCGGTTTGGCTCAGTGGATAGAGCGTCAGCCTGGGGACTGAAGGGTCCCAGGTTCGATTCCGGTCAAGGGTATGTACCTTGGTTGCAGGCACATCCCCAGTAGGGGGTGTGCAGTAGGCAGCTAATCGATGCTTCTCTCTCATTGATGTTTTTAACTCTCTGTCCCTCTCCCTTCCTCTTGTAAAAAATCAATAAAATATTTTTTAAAAAAAAAAACATACAGTTTGCCGATATTGTTTTAAACTATGTATAGGTTACACTTAAGTTTGTCCAAATGAAATTTAATAAAGTAAGAAAAACCTGATATAGTGAAATAAACTTAAATAAGAAAAATATATACAACAAATAAACTTAAGGAAAGCATTCAACCTAGGACATTCATTCAGGAAAATTAAAAGAGTGATATATAACTAATTTGGATTTTTATATTTTATTTAATAATACCTAATGCTGGATTTGTGATAAAACCCAGTTCAGCTGGAGTGACTCAGTGGTTTGAGTGTTGACCTATGAACCAGGAGGTCACGGTTCGATTCCCAGTCAGGGCACATTGCCTGGGTTGCGGGCTCAATCCTCAGCAGGGAGCATGCAAGAGGCAGCCAATTGATGATTCTCTCTCATCGTTGATGTTTCTATCTCTCTCTCCCTCACCCTTCCTCTCTGAAATCAATAAAAATAAAAAATATATATACTTACTTTTTTTTTTTTATTGCTTAAAGTATTACAAAGGGTATTACATATGTGTCCATTTTATCCCCCCGCCCTAGACAGTCCCCTAGCCTCCCCTATCCCCCAATGTCTTATGTCCACTGGTTATGATTATATGCATGCATACAAGTCCTTTAGTTGATCTCTTACCCCCCTACCTCCTGCCCCCCAACCCTCCCCGGCCTTCCTGCTGCAGTTTGACAATCTGTTTGAGGCAGCTCTGCCTCTGTATCTATTATTGTTCAAAAGTTTATAATGGTCTCTATTATCCATGAATGAGTGAGATCATGTGGTATTTTTCCTTCATTGACTGGCTTATTTCACTTAGCATAATGCTCTCCAGTTCCATCCATGACGTTGCAAATGATAAGAGTTCCTTCCTTTTTAGAGCAGCATAGTATTCCATCGTGTAGATGTACCACAGTTTTCTAATCCATTCATCTACTGATGGGCACTTAGGCTGTTTCCAGATCTTAGCTATGGTGAATTGTGCTGCTATGAACATGGGGGTGCATATATCCTTTCTGATTGGTGTTTCTGGTTTCTTGGGATATATTCCTAGAAGTGGGATCACAGGGTCAAATGGGAGTTCCATTTTCAGTTTTTTAAGGAAACTCCATACTGTCTTCCATAGTGGCTGCACCAGTCTGCATTCCCACCAGCAGTGCACAAGTGTTCCTTTTTCTCCACATCCTCTCCAGCACTTGTCGTTTGTTGATTTGTTGATGATAGCCAGTCTGACAGGTGTGAGATGGTACCTCATTGTTGTTTTGATTTGCATCTCTCGGATGATTAGTGACTTTGAGCATGTTTTCATATGTCTCTTGGCTTTCTGAATGTCCTCTTTTGAAAGGTGTCTATTTAGGTCCTTTGCCCATTTTTTGATTGGATTGTTTATCTTCCTTTTGTTAAGTTGTATGAGTTCCCTATAAATTTTGGAGATTAGGCCCTTATCAGATATGACATTGGCAAATATGTTTTCCCACACAGTGGGTTTTCTCGTTGTTTTGTTGATGGTTTCTTTTGCTGTGCAGAAGCTTTTTATTTTGATGTAGTCCCATTTGTTCATTTTCTCTTTAGTTTTAAGTGCCCTAGGAGCTGTATCAGTGAAGAAATTGCTTCGGCATATGTCTGAGATTTTGTTGCCTTTGGATTCTTCTAAAATTTTTATGGTTTCCTGTCGTACGTTTAAGTCCTTTATCCATTTTGAGTTTATTTTTGTGTATGGTGTAAGTTGGTGGTCTAGTTTCATTTTATTGCATATATCTGTCCAATTTTCCCAACACCATTTATTGAAGAGACTATCTTGGCTCCATTGTATGTTCTTGCCTCCTTTGTCAAATATTAATTGAGCATATTGGTTCGGGCCGATTTCTGGGCTCTCTATTCTATTCCATTGATCTATATGCCTATTCTTGTGCCAGTACCAGGCAGTTTTGAGAACAGTGGCTTTGTAATACAACTTGATATCTGGTATTGAGATCCCACCTACTTTGGTCTTTTTCAGGATTGCTGCAGCTATTCGGGGTCTTTTTTTATTCCAGATGAATTTTTGGAGAGTTCGTTCTAGATCTCTGAAGTATGCCGTTGGTATTTTAATGGGAAGTGCGTTGAATTTATAGATTGCTTTGGGTAGTATGGGCATTTTAATGATGTTGATTCTACCAATCCATGAACACGGTATGTTCTTCCATCTGTTTATGTCTTCCTCTATATCTTTTTTCAACGTCCTGTAGTTTTCTGAGTAGAGGTCTTTTACCTCTTTAGTTAAGTTTATTCCTAGGTAGCTTAATTTTTTTGGTGCGATGGTAAACGGGATTGTTTTTATAATCTCTCTTTCTGAAAGTTCACTATTGGTGTATAGAAATGCCTCGGATTTCTTGGGGTTAATTTTGTATCCTGCTACATTGCCAAATTCATGTATTAAGTCCAGTAGCTTTTTGATGGAGTCTCTAGGGTTTTGTATGTATAATATCATGTCGTCTGCAAATAAGGACAGTTTTACTTCCTCTTTTCCAATTTGGATGCCTTTTATTTCTTCTTCTTGCCGAATTGCAATGGCTAACACTTCCAGTACTATGTTGAACAGGAGTGGTGAGAGGGGGCATCCCTGTCTTGTTCCTGTTCTTAGGGGAAATGGTGTTAGTTTTTGTCCATTGAGTATGATGTTGGCTGTGGGCCTGTCATATATGGCTTTTATTATGTTGAGGTATGATCCTTCTACTCCCACCTTGCTGAGAGCTTTTATCAAAAATGGGTGTTGAATTTTGTCAAATGCTTTTTCTGCATCAATTGATATGACCATGTGGTTTTTTTCTTTCAATTTGTTTATGTGATGTATCACGTTTATTGATTTGCGGATATTGTACCATCCTTGCATCCCTGGGATAAATCCTACTTGGTCATGGTGTATGATCTTTCTGATGTACTGCTGGATCCGATTTGCTAAGATTTTGTTGAGGATTTTGGCATCTATGTTCATGAGGGATATTGGCCTGTAATTCTCTTTC